CAGGAAAGAAGGAAGGGAGGGAGGGAGGGAGGGAGGGAGGGAGAGGGAGGGAGGGAGGGAGGAAGGGAGGGAGGGAAGGAAGGAAGGAAGAAAGGGAGGGAGGGAAGGGAAGGAAGGGGAGGGAAGGGGAGGAGAAGGGAGGGGAAGGGGAGGGGGACGGGGAGGAAAGGAAAGGAGAAAGAAAGGAAAGAAAGAAAATATCCCTCACATCCACGCTTGCCATGCAGAGTTGTGTCTTGAACTGCTGGGTTCCTCCTCCCCTCCTTTTTATAATAATATTATTTTTAGAGATGGTGTCTGGTTCTGTCACCCAGGCTGGAGTGCAGTGGTGCAATCACAGCTCATTGCAGGCTGGAACTTCCAGGCTCAAGCGAACCTTCCAACTCAGCCTCCTAAGTAAATGGGAGGAAGCGGGGCCAGGTAGAACTACGGGTGCAACACCACGCCCAGCTAACGTTTGTATTTTCTGGTAGAGGTGGGGTCTCACTATGTTGCCCAGGCTGGTCTTGAACTCCTGGGCTCAAGTGACCTTCCCATCTCAGTCTCCCAGCGTGCTGGGATGACAGGCGTAAGCCATTGCGTCCAGCCTCCTCCCCTTTTCAAATTCTGTCTTATGTCCTCTTTTGGAACCTGGGGTTCTCCGTTCCTGCAAAGAAGCTTAGAGGCCAAGCTGAGTTAGCTATGGGAAAGTCTTCTGCTGTTTTAGAGGATAATGTATTTTGTGATAAAGTGCTTGTTATATACATGCTATAAAGAAAATCCTCTAAAATTAACCCAAGTGAAGTTTCTTGTAAATGTCTCTTTTGTAACTGTACTATGTAACGGTGTGTACATACAATGCCGTTCTTTTAAAAAAACATATAGGCTAGGAATACAACATGAGTAACCTTACGAAATACGAATTTTACTGGCAGGAAAGGTTTGGGAGGTGCAAATTCTCCTAAGACTATGAGAAATGTAGTATTTCAATATTTTCTTTCATCAAGGCTCAGCGCCTCGGCCCACGAGTGGGGAGGAATGCGAGATGCTGATTGCATGCGTTGCAGCTGAAACTCCTTTTCCAACCCAGATTCGGGGGGACAGAGCACAGGACCGTGGGCTTCAGCAAAAATGCGAATTCCTGCACTTTTGCCCAGAACACTAGCTGCTTGGCTGGGAGGGTGACATTCCTGCTGGAGGGTGCAGTAGTGACCCAAACCCAACAGCAAGTAAGTGAACAGCTGCAGGAGACAGACGCAGGAACTTGGGGCAGAGAGGGCTGCCCAGGCCTCTCTCTCTGGGCCGGCTGCTGCTGCTGCGTGATTACAGGGATCTCCACAGACGTCCATCCCAGGTAATCGTTACATGTGAAAATCCACACCGTGTTCCTCTGCTAGAGTCTCCCAGGTAAAGTTGATTAGGGTGGTAAACCTCCATTTGCTAAGAGAGATGGGAAAATCTGTACACAGAGTGACCACCGGAGAAGGAGGTATGTTTTTAACTAAAGAAAAGAAAAAATGCCAGGCATGGTGGCTCATGCCTATAATCCCAGCACTCTGGGAGGCTGAGGCGAAAGGATCACCTGAGGCCAGGAGTTTGAGACCCACCCTGGGCAACGCAGTGAGACCCCGACTCTAAAAAAAATTTCAGAAAAGAAAAAAAGGGCAGAAATAATTCATTGATTTAACCCAGAAATGGTTATAATGGGAAACCTTGCAGTCCTCTCACAACAGCTGTTCTGGCAAAGTCCCCGTGTTCCAACAAATATGAAACTGTGCTTGCCATTTGTCTAAGGAATCTTGCATTAATAAACATGAAGAAGAACACTTTTACCTCCCACTCTCAACGACAGGACAAAACAAAGACCAGCTGTATTCATCAATGGGCCCTTGTTCCGCACATAAAGGCTAATTACATTTTGCTTCAAGCCTACACATGGAAAACTTTACTGCTGTTGTCTCGTCACAGTCAGCCCGTGCTGTCCCAGCTAACGCGTGGCGATGACTGCTCACGATAAACCAGGGTCTCAGAGCAGCTTCGGTGCCATCGACCTGCGGGCTTCTCTCCAAAACAGGGCAGAGGGATGGGTACCCCGCGACATCTCCCCACGACCGACAGGCAGTGTGGGCCCAGTCCATCGTGGTGATGCGGTTAAGGTCGGTTTAAGGTCGGTTTCCTCCAAGGCTGTTAATGTCAGAAACGCATACCACGCCCTGCTGCGGGCTTGCTGGGAATAGCTTCTATCTGTCGACAGCTTAGCCTCAGAGTCTCCCCATGCCAGGTTCTGTACACACACATCTCATTCCTCTTCAAAACCACCCAGTGGCTTCACTCCTATTACGGCCATTGTACAGGTCAGAAAGGGAGGTGGACAGGTCACAGCGTATTCAGGGTCACTCGGAGAGCTAGTACTGAAGCCTGGAGAATCAGTCCCAAGCCAGTCTTTCTCCAAAGCCCATCTTCCTTTATGCCTCTCCAATTCCGATCAACAAATATCTAAGAATCCCTCTATTTATTTATTTTTGAGACAGGGTCTTGCTCGGTCACCCAGGCTGGAGTGCAGTGGTGCAATCTAGGCTCACTGCAGCCTCGACCTCCTGAGCTCAAGCGATCCTCCCACTTCAGCCCCACAAGTAGTCGGGACTACAGTTGCGAGCTACCAGGCTGGGATAATTTTTGTATTTTTTGTAGAGACAGCGTTTCGCCATGTTGCCCAGGCTGGTCTCAAACTCCTGGACTAAAGTGAGCTGCCCACCTCAGCCTCCCAAACTGCTGGGATTACAGACATGAGCCACTGCTTCCGGTCCTAAGAATGCCTCCTTCTGAAGAGGGAAAATAAATTGTTTTTAAAATGCTGTTAAGACCATATGTGAAAAGATTTGCCCCCAAGGAGCTTATATTCATATGCATTACTGAAAATGCTCATGGTCTAATAAAATGTGTAGGTTGGACTTGAAGCAGATGGAATAATGACAAATCTATCTTGGAAAATGAAAAGGGAGGGAAAGGCAAGCAGGGGAGGTCTCAGATGGAGCCCATGGCCTCCAAAGTTAAAAGAAAGTAGCCAAGATCCAATTCTCTCAGGCCATTCTTTGCATTTCTGGGGCACGACTTTCTCTGGGAACTGTCACAGTACGTGGTTGGCCCCAGGCTGCCGCTGTCAGTGCCCAGACCGTTTCTGATGTGGAAATGCCAGGCCACGCCCATCCTGCCCCATAGCAAATCATTCGGAATCTCTGGCGGGTCCTCCCCAAGAATGAATTCACCAGGCTTGCATTTTCACAAACCTCTGCAAACCCTGACCTGACTCATCTTCCAATCCCAAATCCCATCCCACCCTCTTTAGAAAGGCTTCCTGACAATTCTTTCTCTGCAGTCTCACGATGCTGAGGATGTTCTATTCCTTTCCCCAGCTCCCCTGGCTGGTGGGAGGAGAGAGGGAGTCAGGTGAGGGGTCCCTGGCACTGCCTTGGGTCCTCTCCCAAGGCCACGGCTCCCCTCAAGGGGGCCCTTACCTTCAGGCTCCAGCTACCTTTCCCTCCTCTGGCTCATTCAAACCCAGGTGTGGAAACCCTACTGGTATTACGGGCCTAGGATCTGCACCTCTGCAAATAGACCCAATGTTGAACTTTTTTTTTTTTTTTGAGATGAAGTCTCACTCTGTCGCCCAGGCTGGAGTACAGTGGCACTATCACAGCTCATTGCAGCCTCAACTCCTGGATTCAAGTGATCCTCCCACCTCAGCCTCCTGAGTAGGTGGGACTACAGGTGCACACCACCATGCCCGGTGAAATACAATGATTTTTAAAAATAAGATTTATGGAGAAAAACAGCTTAATCCAAGTAAGTAAGTTGCTTAATCAGGTCCAAGCAGAAGTAATTGAGAGGAGTGATTAGCTAATCTGGTGGTGATGTTTCAGTATTCACATGTCTCATGACCAGAATCCATTCTGACCACCAGGCTGGGGAGCTCGGCTCTCAAGGTCTTGACCCTGAGCAAAACGTTAAGAGCCCCATTCAGCAACGGACCCAGCAGCACCCTCAAAGTCCAATGTCAAGTCAGATGGGGCAGAGAGACACTGAGCACCAGCACCTCACACAGAGCTGGAGCCTGGGGGGACAGCAGTGCCATTCAGAAGCACCCCTCTTCTCGCTGAGGCACTGTGTGAGCAGAGTCGGGGGAACCTTTGTTACTGGGGTAGGGAAACCCAAGAGACATGGCAGTGGGCACACAAGTGTGTTTCCACGAAAGAGGGGGAGAGCCTTCCAGAACAGGAAAAAGAGGCTCAAACGCTAGCCTGGCACCGCCCACCTGGAATTTGGTAGAGGAGGAAATGGCTAGGAGCAATTTCTGCCAATTCTTCATCTTTTCACGACTTATATTGATCATTATTTCTTCCTTGCTGGTGTTCCACATCAAGGATGGGCTGGTATAAAGTACACTTGTAGTGGATGCCTCTAATTTCCTTTGGACAAGAGCTGGGTAGGAAGTTGGCCTTTTGTGATTCTGCCCACCCGAATCTGTATCCATCTGTACATGCACGCCTAGCATTGTAAGGTCTGACATGAACCCATATGCCCACATGGGAATGTATTATTATTCTGAGGCTGGCCTTCCCAAAGGGTCCTGGGAGAAATGAAGATCTCTGTAAAAAAAGGGATAGGATTTGCCCAGACCCAGCTCCACACAAAAAAATGTCCCGTGTGTCATATAAATGAACTCCCAGATTTTCATGACAAAAGGCCTAGCAGTGACCAGGCTTCATAATAAAGAAGGGAAGAAGTTTGTTGGAAGGATTATCCAGTGAGTGCTAGAACATGCACTGAACTGACGCTGAGAACTCATGGGAAAGACACTGTGTACCTGCAGCGGTACAAAGGTCAAGCACCTTCTCCATCCCGCCCTGCTCTGCAGAGTGAGACGCGTGCGCGGTTGGGGGACGAGCGTGCGCGGTTGGGGGACGAGCGTGCGCGGTTGGGGGACGAGCGTGCGCAGTTGGGGGCCGAGCAGAGAGACTTACTTTGCAGTAGTTTCTTCGTCATATTTGGTTTTCAGGTCAAATAATTCTGTTCGAGTTTTTTCCAGGGCTGAAAGGCAAAGAATAAAAAATCATGATGTAAGATACTCTTTGGGTTAAAAAGAACGCATATACACCTAATCTACTCCCATTTCAAAGGAGGCAGAGATTTCTGTGAAGAGTGAGGTGTGTGAAAAAAATAAAGATTAAAAAAATACAAAAAAGGCCAAGATGATGAAAATACAAAAAATGCAATAGGAAATCCCCTTTCATCTCTGCCTCATCTAATCCCAAACACCTACAAAGACAGAACCGATGTTAACAGTTTCCTTCCTTCCCTCCTTCCCTCCCTCCATCCCTCTGTCCATTTCTTCCATTTGTTTTTTTAAATAATTTTTATTACTTTTTTTTTTTGTGAAGACGAGGTTTCTCCATGTTGGCCAGGCTGGTCTTGAACTCCTGACCTCAGGTGATCCGCCGGCCTTGGCCTCCCACAGTGCTGGGATTACAGGTATGAGCCTGCACACCCGGCCTGTCCCTTTTGTTTTTAAGAAACAAGGTTTCTCACTCTGTCACCCAGGCTGGAGTACAATGGCACAATCACAGCTTACTGCATCCTTGAACTCCTAGGCTCAAGCCATCCTCTTGCCTCAGCCTTCCAAATAGCTGGGACTAGAGGCGAAAGTCACTACTCTTGGCTGTTGTAGAGATAAGGTTTTACTACGTTGCCCAGGCTGGTCTGGGACTCCTGGCCTGAAGTGATCCTCCCACTTTGGCCTCCCTAAGTGCTAGGATTACAGGTGTAAGTCACTGCACCTGGATTATTTAAGGTTTTAAGGTGTATTTTATTATTTCTGGCGGGGCAAGGTGGCTTATATCTGTAACCCCAGCACTTTGGGAGGCTGAGGCGGGCAAATCACCTGAGGTCAGGAGTTCAAGATCAGCTTGGCCAACAGGGTGAAACGCCGTCTCTACTAAAAATACAAAAATTAGCCAAGTGTGGTGGCGCGTGCCTGTAATCCCGGCTACTCAGGAGGCTGAGGCAGGAGAATCGCTTGAACCCTGGAGATGGAGGTTGCAGTGAGCAGAGATCACGCGACTGCACTACAGCCTGGGTGACAGAGCGAGACTCCATCTCAAAAAAAAAAGAAAAAGAAATGAATAAAATATTTAAAAATTCTGACAGTCTGATAGGCAAAACAGTCTTTCACTAATTTAATCTGCATCTCCCTGACTGTAAAAAAAACTTTGCATTTCTTCATATGTGTAGTTTCCATTTGCATTTCTTCTGTGAGCTGTTTGCTCATTGTTCTACTGCACCGTTTCTCTAGCTTAACGGATTGATTGGCAGCCTTTACATTTTTTTGTTTATTATCTGTTTGTTAATTTGTTGTGATTGTTTTCTCCCACTCTTGTCATTTGTGTTTTAACTTGAATAATGTCTTCTGATGTCTGTCTACATTTAAATAATCTGCTCAGTTCTGGGTCACCCGAAAAATAGTAAAATTAAAAAACACATTTAAATGGAATACATCGTGGTGCTCCTATTTCAGAAATAAAAAAGAGGGGCTGGGCGTGGTGGCTCACTTGAGCTCAGGTGATCAAGGCCAGACTGGCCAACATGGTGAAACCTTATCTCTACTAAAAAAACAAAAATTAGCTGGGCACGGTGGCGGGCACCTGTAATCCCAGCTACCAGGGAGGCTGAGATGGGAGACTTGCTGGAGCCCAGGGAGGTGAAGGTCGTAGTGACCTGAGATCATGCCACTGCACCCCAGCCTGGGCGATAGAGCTGCCCTCCCAGAACAAAACCAAAACAGAACAAAAAAAGAAAAAAGAGAAAAAAAGAAGTTTAAAGAAACTGTAAGAACTCGAGCATAACCTTTTTTGGTGGCTTTTACATTTTAAAGGTCTGAAATTACTGTTCTCTTTAACTTCATTTAGGGTAGAAGGAAGTTTTTTTTTTTCTATTATTTTTGCAAATGAAATGTCAGTCTTTGACAGTTTGGTGATTTAGACGTGTTTGTTGGAAAAAGAGCAGGAAGAAAGGATGGCGTGTGGAAGGGATGAAAATGGAACCAAGATCCTCCCACCTCTACATTAAGAACTCAAGAGTCAGTGAGTAATGAGGCACAGCAGCTGGCGGGCGTGCTGCGGAATTCTTCAGCGTGGGCTCACAGCAGCTCCCACAGGTCCTAAGAGCAACAGGTATCTGCAGGGACCAGGGCGGTCAGGGGGCCGACCCAACTCTCCCCCTGGGTCCTCCCCACATCCACGGTACTGGGAAGGAGAGTATCAAACCTGTTTGCAGGCTCTGAACCTTATGCTCAGCTTCCTCCAGTTTTGAGGTGGTGGACATCTGTGTCTCCTGCAGCTTTCTGCAAAGGAAGAGGATGTAGCCAAATCGGTCATCTCTTTTACCCACTGAAATGCACGTGTGCGTTTGGGCTGAGATCAGCTCCCTCCCTGCGCTCAGCTGGCGGCAGGAGCGCCACGGGGTATCGCCCGCAATGACACGTGTGCTGTGGGCCTGGCTCCCGCAGCTTCCACACCCCAGTTTTGCAACCGCGTGTCACATCACGGGAAGCGTGCACCCTGCGAGGGCTTGATGGGTGGTAACTGGCGTAGAAGGTTATCCTAAATGTAATTTGTTCTTGAAATGCCAGATTTCAAAAAGAAAAAAAAAAATCATCATCACGCACTCATTGTTTTCTGAAGTTAGCCCAGGAAGAATAATCCATTTACATTCTGCTGACACAATGAAGGAGTTTGTTGGAATAAAGGATGCACTAAATAGACGTGGCAGCTGTTCTGTCCCTGTTATAATGGAATGCAAAACGCAACTGCAGTACCTAATGGGGACGCTGTGAACGCTCGCAACTGCATTCCACAGATTCACATTTCCCAGGATCGCTAAGTGAATTCCCTGGTCAATAAATAGCATTCCTGCCTCTTCATCTGAAAAGAAAAAAAACCCCTCTAAAAATAGGTTTATTATTTTTATGTCATATGAATATAACATATGCTCTCAAAATGATAAACTGGGAATAGAGGAAAGTAAAATGACACAGTGTATGAAGTCACCCCAATTCCCATCACCTCTAGAAAAGCACTGCTAATATTTTCATGTATTTCAATTATGAAACTAATGTACTCTCAAGGAGGTCATCAAATAAGACGAGAGCATGGAAAGCGTGAGACTCTTCTTACTATGCCTTGGCTCATTTCCGTTCCTCAGAGTTCAATTCTTTCTAAAACGTTTCTGCATGTTGAGATATGACATCATACGTTACAGGCTATAGTGTGATAAGAAAAAATACGTAACATACTATAGCATAACATGAGCTAATATGTAACATCTGATATGTGACAGGTTATAGTGTGATATAAACAAACGCATAACACTGCAGCACAATATAAACTAATACATACAAAGGATCACGTACTATGAACACACGCTATAGCATAGTACGAACTAGTGTGTAACACACTATAGCGTGAACTAATATGTGAACTACATAAATGTAACAAGCTACAGTGTAATATAAACTGATATGTAACATGCTATGGCGTCATATGAACTAATATGTAATATGCTGTAGCGTAAACTAATGTAATATACTATAGTGCACTATGAACATGTAACATGCTATAGCATAATGTGAATTAAAAATCTAACATACTACAGCGCAAGTCAAACTAATGTGTCACATAGTATAGCGAAATAATACGAACTAATATACCACAGCATAGTAGACACTGAGACGTAGCACACTACAATGTAACAATGAAGTAGTGTAATATACTGTGGTGCAATATGAACATGAAATATACGAGTGAAACAGAAGCATTTAATATGCTACAGTGTAACAGAAACTCCCTGCCCTGCTATTTTAAAGGAAGGTGATTGTAACACGCACCACATTCTGGGCTCCCGTATTCACTTATCTCCGTATTTGGGAAATGTTCTATCCCAGCAAACACAGTTCCTCCTCATTCTTGTTAAATAATTAACTTAATCACGTCTCTCTGGACACTCAGATTATTTCTAGGGTTCTTTCTACTGAACGTTTCCTCAATGATCATTGTGGAGATACTGTATAATTTTGAGAGTGAATCTGTTGGATGAAATGCTAATAGAGGAATTAAAATGATCAAAGGGTAATCTTTTTTTTGTTTTTTGGAGACAGGGTCTTGTTCTGTCACCCAGGCTGGAGTGCAGTGGCGTAATCTCGGCTCACTGCAATGTCTGCTCCTGGGTTCAAGCAATTCTTCTGCCTCATCCTCCCAGGACGCTGGGATTACGGGCATGTACCACTATGCCTGGCTGTTTTTTGTATTTTTAGTAGAAATGGGGTTTCACCATGTTGGCCAGGCTGGTCTCAAACTCCTTGCCTCAAGTGAGCCGCCTGCCTTAGTCTCCCAAAGTGCTGGGATTACAGGCACAAGCCAGTTCGCCTGGGCCCTTTTTTTGTTTTGATAGATGTTGAAAAACTTCCCAACAAAAAACTTTCACAAGTTTAAACTCCCACCAACAATATGTAAGTGTGTTTTCGTATACTCTGCCAACATAAGATAACATCAGATTTAAATTTTTTTTACTGCTGAGTAAAGCTGCGTTATTTCTCTTTGTATGAAATGCCTATTTATCTCCTTTGCCTATCTTTGTAGAGTGGATTTTGTTCTTATTAATTTAGAAGACCTCTTTGTATATAAAGCAAATTAGCCCTTTGTCTTACATGATACAAATATTTCTTCCCAGTTTGCTGATTTTTAAAAATGTTATTAGTTTTAAAGAATCCATGTTAAGTTTCAGTCATATTAATAATAAAAACAAATATGCACCCTAGTTTTCTTCCACTATGTTTGTGACATTAAAAAATTATAATCTTCAAATCTTAGATCCATCCACAGTTTTTTGGTATAAAGAATAACATCCGTAATCCCAGAACTTTGGGAGGCCGACGTAGGTGGATCACTTGAGGTCAGGAGTTCAAGACCAGCCTGGCCAACATGGTGAAACCCTGTTTCTACTAAAAATATAAAAATTAGCTGGGTGTGATGTTGCGCACCTGTAACCCCAGCTACTCGGGAGGCTGAGGCAGGAGAAGTGCTTGAACCCAGGAGGCAGAGGTTGCAGTGAGCTGAGATTGTACCACTGCCCTGCAGCCTGTGTGACAGAGTGAGACATGGTCTCAAAACACACACCCACCCACACCCACATCCACACCCACACCAACAGAGAGAGAGAGAGAAAGAAAGAGAGAGAGAGAGAGAGAGAGAGAGAGAGAGAGAGAAAAAGAAGTAAATTCTAGCTTCAGCTCTTCCCTCTAACAGTCAGGTATTATATCTTTCAATATATCTAATTCCTTTACCTAATTTGAAAAGTCAAGAGTTGGGCACAGTGGCTTACAATTGTAATGCTAGTACTTTGGGAGGCCGAGGCGGGCGGATCACCTGAGGTCAGGAGTTCAAAACCACCCTGAGCAACATGGTGAAACCCTGTCTCTACAAAAAACAAAAAAATCAGCTGGGCTGTGGTGGCACACACCTGTAATCTCAGCTACTCAGGAGGCTGAGGCAGGAGAATCACTTCAACCCGGAGCGGAGGGTTGCAGTGAGCCAAGACTGTGCCACTGCACTGCAGCCTGGGCAACAGAGCAAGATTCCATCTCAAAAATTAAAAAAAAAATGTCAACTTAGTAATATTTAATTCCCATATGTGTTTATTTCCACATTGTGGTAATGTATGAGTTTGCTGGAGGAAGATCTACTATCATACTGTACTGTATATAATTTTGTACGGTACATTTTTTGACTTTGTATTATCCTAGATATATTTTTTACGTTACTATGAACTCCACGTAACTATTATTAATATTTAAAAGGTGACGTAACATCCCAGTTAGGGAGAGTCCTCTTTCTATTAAACCCATTTCTCCATGGCAGGGCAAACAGACTGATTGCACTGTATCACTCACTGGTGAGGAATCTCTTTGGTTGTAAAGTACTATCCTAAGAGGCACTGACTTAGGACCAAGTCCATATCAATGGCATCAAGGGTCTGGCCGTCCTTCCGAGCCTTGACTCTGTGTTTCGCATTCCTCTCCTGGAGTCTGCGCCCTGCTGCGCTCCCCCAATGGAAGATGGATGCAGCCTCCACCTGCAGAGTTGGGTGTGGCCCCAAGGGACTGGCCTTGGTCCTGCAGTGAGGACTCCAGTTACCATGACACAGCAGAGGTGGAGGCCAGGGCTGAAGTGGGCAAAATCCCACCTCTGGCCCTGATTAACTGCAAAAGCTGTAGGAGGCACCTCACCCGCGACCTGGTCTCTCCCTCTGTGAAATGAGATGGCCTACATCGCAGATCCAACCTGGGCAGTGAGAGAATGTACTGAGAGCCTCCAGCCAAGCTCTGATGCAGGGAAGACCCTGGGTGGGTGGGAGCTGGCAGTTATCTTTTTTCTTTCTTTTTTTTGAGACGGATTTTCACTCTTGTTGTCCAGGCTGGAGTGCAACGGTGCGATCTCGGCTCATTGCAACCTCCGCCTCCGGGGTTCAAGCAATTTTCCTGCCTCAGCCTCCCAAGTAGCTGGGATTACAGGTGTGCCCCACCATGCCCAGTTAATTTTGTATTGTTCTTTTTTTAGTAGAGATGGGGTTTCACCTTGTTGGTCAGGCTGATCTTGAACTTCTGACCTCAAATGATCCACCCACCTTGGCCTCCCAAAGTGCTGGGATTACATGTGTGAGCCACTGCGCCTGACCTCTTTTCTTTTTCTTTCTTTCTTTTTTTTTTTTTGAGACAAGGTCTTGCTCTGTTATCCAGGTTGGATTACAGTGGCCTGATCATGGCTTACTGCAGCCTGGAACTTCTGACCTCAAGCAATCCTCCTGCCTCAGTCTCCTGAGTAGCTGGGACTACAGGCACGTGGTGACAGGCATGGCTCATTCATTCATCCATTGTAGAAATGGCATCTCTCTACGTTGTCCAGGCTGGTCTCAAACTCCCGAGTTCAAGGGATCCTCCTGCCTCAGCCTACAGGGGATATCTGTAACCCTCAAAGTGCTGGGATTACAGATGTGAGCCACCACGCCTGGCCTGTTTTCTTTTCGGATGAAGTCAGCTTAATGACATCCCCCAGAAGCCTTCATGATGCTGTAGGGCAGGTGAGCCCAAAGGAGGGCTTAGCTGGCAAGGGCTCTGGGCTTCGGCCAGGAAGGAATTCAAGGGCGAGCCGGTGGTAGGGCAGAAGAAGGCAGCTTTCTGGAGGCGGCAGGGTTACAGCTCCGTGACTGGTCTCCCCACAGGCTGTGCGCTGACAGTAGATCAGGACCGTTTTGCACTCATATTTGTACCTACTTTTAGTTACCTGTAGATTAAGAGGCAGCTCACACGGAGATTTCTGGGGAAGGGTAGTAACTTTTGAGCTGCCGGATCATTGCCATGGAAAGGGGTGGTAACTCCTGGGTGCTGCCATGGCAATGGTAAACTGACATGGCACACTGGTGGGCATGTCTTACAGAAAGCGGCTTCTCTCCAGGCCCTGTTTTAGCTAGTCTTCAGATTGGTCCAGTGTCTGAGCCTCATCTCCTAACCCAATGAGGCTGTTACAGAGCCCATCTTACAAAAGTTCACCAAGGGTCGGGCGCCGTGGCTCGTGCCTGTAATCACAGCGCTTTGGGGGCCAAGGCGGGCGGATCTCAAGGTCAAGGGATTGAGACCATCCCGGTCCACATAGTGAAATGCCGTCTCTACTAAAAATACAAAAATTATTTGGGTATGGCGGTGGCACACACCTGTAGTCCCAGCTACTCAGGAAGCTGAGGCAGGAGAATCGCTTGAACCCGGGAGGTTGCAGTGAGCTGAGATAGCACCACTGCACTCCAGCCTGGGTGACAGAGTGAGACTCAGTCCCAAAAAACATAAAATAAAATCAAATAAAGAGAAGTTCACCAAAAGCATCAGCACAGGAAGTCAACTGAAAATAAAACCACCAAACCCCACGCCAGCCACAGTCCCACCGGGCCCCTTACCTATCATCATAAACTTAGTGCTTCCTGTTGATGGATACATACATTTCTTCATGCTAGAGTTAAAATTCAGTATCTCTTTTTTCCCCCGTTTTTGCTTTTCTTTTACTTGATGGGGGCAGGTATAAAATTTAATATCTTAATTCAATCCTTCAGTTTTAAAAATCTGATCTAGGCCAGGGACGGTGGTGGTTCACACCTGTAACCCCAGAACTTTGGGAGGTTGAGGCAGGCAGATCACCTGAGGTCAGGAGTTTGAGACCAGCCTGGCCAACATGGTGAAACCTCATCTCTACTAAAAATACAAAAATTAGCCAGGTGTGGTGGCATGTGCCTGTTATCCCAGCTACTCAGGAGGGTGAGGCAGGAGAACTGCTTGAACATGGGAGGTGGAGGTTGCAGTGAGCCCAGATTGCACCACTGCACTCCAGCCTGGGCAATGAGAGTGAAATTCCGTCTTAAAAAAAAAAAAGCCAGGCGCGGTGGCTCGTGCCTGTGATCCCAGAACTTTGGGAGGCCAAGGCAGGATCACCTGAGGAGTCAGGAGTTCAAGACCAACCTGGCCAACATGGTGAAACCCAATCTCTACGAAAAATAAAAAATTAGGCCAGGCGCGGTGGCTCAGCTGATGTGGGGAGTTTGAGACCAGCCTGACCAACATGAAGAAACCCTGTGTCTAAAAAAAAAAAAAAAATAATAATAATAAATAAATAAATATTAGCTGTGTGTGGTGGTATCCGCCTGTAGTCCCAGCCATTTGGGAGGATGTGACAGAAGAATCGCTTGAACCTGGGAGGTAGAGGTTGCAATGAGCTAAGATCACGCCACTGCACTCCAGCCTGATAGAGTGAGACTCCCTCTCAAAAAAAAAAAAAAAAAAAAAAAATCTGATCTATGTGGTTGGGACAGGTAACTTCAATAGTCCTCATTGTTGTGACAGTGAATCTAACTTTCATGAACTCATCACGCTAGGGAAAAACCAACTCATTATTTGTGGGAAACACTCTCAGTAATGTAAGCCATTAGAAATCTAAAACTCACATCAGTTAGATGGCGCATTAACATACTTTACTAACTCCCTGATATGTGAGGTAATAAGAGGCAACACCAAAAAACCCACCAAGATTGTGGGTTCGTGTGTGTGTGTGCGTGTGCATGCGCACGCACGTGTGTGCAGTATTAAATATCAATTCACTTGAGAAGGTAGAGACAGTTTAGCACTAGCACAGGGCTTGTCCCCTGAGGACACACACTGGGAAATGGCCTTTCCTCTCTGGTCTCAGCTCAGGTCCAGCTGTCGGGTGTCACCTCGCTAACGACTCATGCCTTGAGGTTCACCTCTGCATCTGCACAGCCTGGATGCCCTTGGGCTCACGGGCTGCCTGACACCACTCACCGGCGGGGAAAGACAGATGTATTTTGCTCAAGGAAACCTCACAAATGTAGAATATCATTTTTGAAGCATTTTACCTACAGCTATTATGGATGTGGGGTTGCAGTGTGCACTGATTTTGCAGGCACATTTGTCAACGTGTGTGAGGTTCAGAGCAAATGCTGTGTCAGTCTGTGTGCACCTGGAAGCCATGCTCACCTCTCCTTTTCTGCAAAGTCATTCTGTAACTTCTGTTCCTTCTCAAGAGCTATGGTTTCGGCTTGGTTCTTCAGTGTCTGTTCATATTCTCGGATTTTCTCTTTAAGTGCTTTTATCGTAACCTCTGCAGAAGAGAAAAAAAAAACCTACAGTAAGAGAAGCATAAATTCCACATGGCTGTAGGTACAAGGCCCTCATAACCTGGTAGGACCGGTGTGTTTTAAACCTTAGCTCTTCAAGTCTGACACAAAATCAATGGTTACGAGTCCCTTCGGAGACCTTTTACTCCCTAAATGTTAAATTGAACTTTAAACGCTTAGGCTGAGGAGGATCAATGGATTTTGCTGAAAAGAAGAGCTATGGGCTAGACGTGGTGGCTCACGCCTGTAATCCCAACACTTTGAGAGGCCGAAGCAGGCAGTTTATGAGGTCAGGAGTTCGAGACCAGCCTGGCCAATGTGGTGAAACCCCATCTCTACTAAAAATACAAAAATTAGCTGGGCAGGGTGGTGCACACCTGTAATCCCAGCTACTCAGGAGGCTGAGGCAGGAGAATGGCTGGAACCTGGGAGAGGGAGGTTGCAGTGAGCAGAGATTGCACCACTGTACTCCAGCTTGGGCAACAGAGCAAGATTCCACCTCAAAAATAAATAAATAAATAAAGAAAGAAAGAAAAGAAGAGCTATGGTTTCTCTCGCACAAGTCAAAGAAGAAAAGGAGGGTGGGAGGGTGGGGATGGAAATCAGTGGTAAAAGATATCATCTTCCTGATGAGTCTGAAGTGAGTCCTGTAACTGAGGGATGATTGACGAAGTTTTAGTGTAGGTTTCAGCGCTTTCTCTCACACACACAAACACAGTGCATAATGGTGTGTGCATTTTGGAAGAAGTGACCAAAGTGGAATCAGGAGTCGATGGTACAGCATCTCCATGACGCGATTCAGCCAAACCTGTCACAGACCCTATAAATACAAACACCTACATGTACGCACACAAGTTACAAATAAATTAAAAGAGAAGCCGTCTACAGGCCAAGTGCAGTGGCTCACATCTGTAATCCCAGAACTTTGGGAGGCCGAGGTGAGAGGATCCCTTGAGCTCAGGAGTTTGAGACCATAACATAGAGAGCCCAACCTCTACAAAATGCACAAGAATTAGCTGCACGTGGTGGTGCACGCCTGCAGTCCCAGCTTAGGGACCTGGGAGGCCGAGGTGGGAGGATGTCTTGAGCCCAGGATTTTGAAGCAGCAGTGAGCTATGACTGTGCCACCACACTTCAGCCTGGATGACAGATGAGACCCTGCTGAGAGAGACAGAAAGAAACAGAGAAAGAGACAGAGAGAGAAAGAGACAGAGACAGATAGAAAAGCAAGCAAGCTGGCGTGGCCCTGCAGCTCTGCTGGTTCACAAGTTACAAGAAATGCGTGGTGCTAGGTGGATAAAGCATGAGTCCTCTGGGCTGGAAGGGACCCTCCCTGGAGCGCCCTCCACGCTGCTAGTCGTGGGCTTTGCGCGTAGAGCAGAAATTGCATAGCATGGGGGAAGATCTCTGGTGACTGGCGCATGGCCCGGAGGGTTCCTAGAGCGGGGCGTGAGCACCAGGGGTGTGGGGCAGGGCTGTCTCAGGAAGGCCCAGGCCCACATGGCTCTGGTGAGTGGCTCCCATACTACTAACTGCAAGTTCACAGACGTCACCTAATTGCCCATTCAGAGAGCATCAAAACGGACTTGATGAATAGAGCAGACCGGTGGGTGGATCTGGCGCAGGCCTGCTCCACCTGCATCCTCCTCTAGACACACCTATGCCACCACTCTGCATGCTGGATGCGTTGTAAAGAAGCACCGTGGCCCCAGCCCTCAGGAGAGGGGAGCTCTGCGGCTACAGACCCACCTCTTAGCAGGCGAGGCTCATTTTCTTTGCGTTCCCAGTGCCAGCACAGGCACGTGCTCAGGAAAGCACTGTGGCATGAATGAATGAATGAATGAATGAATGAAGGAGCTGAGGCCGTGCACAGCTGGGGGAGGCCTAGACAGGCCTTGTGGCAATGGGGCTCCCTCTGGGGCAACAAGGCCACCTGCCAGGTGTGTAACTCACATCCTTTCCTGCTCTCTGGGATGCACAGACCCTCACTGGCCAGGGCAGGAGCACATCACCTGGGTGATTCACACCCACATGGCTTAGCGCATACAAGCTAAAGGCTTTTTTTTTTTTTTTTTTGGCAGCGTTTCACTCTGTTGCCTAGGTTGGAGTGCGGTGGCACAGTCACGGCTCACTGTAACCTCCACTTCCCAGGTTCAAGCAATTCTCCTGCCTCAGCCTCCAGAGTAGCTGGGACCATAGGTGCGCTCTACCATGCCTGGCTAATTTTTGTATTAAAGGCTCTTTTGTTAAGAGAAGAGATTGGCCTTTTTCATTAGGTGGAACCCAGAGTACTTTCCTTGGAGGGGGGATTCCACTAATGATCCCATCAGGGCACTGGAGAGGGACTGGGCACCTTCCTGCCTTTTGGTCTGGCTGTTCAGGGCCCGGAAGAAACGCTCTGCACACACAATGGTTGGTGATATGTCCCTCTCAAGCCATACAGACAAGGCCGATGTGAGGCAAGAGCTGGGCACTTCCAGAATGGACTCCAGACAGGCCAGCTCTGAAAACGCCCACACTGCTCTGCCACGTCAATGGTCTACACTCCTGCGGAAACATGCAGCAGTTTTGCCTTTTTTTTTTTTTTTTAATTGAGACAGAGACTTCCTCTGTCGCCCAGGCTGGGGTGCAGTGGTGTGATCTCAGCTCACTGCAACCTCTGCCTCCCAGGTTCACGCAATTCTCGTGTCTCAGCCTCCTGAACAGCTAGGACTACAGGCGTGTGCCACCACACCTGGCTAATTTTTGTGTTGTTTTTTCTTTTAGTAGAGATGAAGTTTCACCATGTTGACAAGGTTGGTCTCAAAATCCTGACCTCAAATGATCAGCCCACCTTGGCCTCCCAAAGTGCTGAGATTACAGGCGTGAGCCACCACGCCCAGCCTCATCTTTCCCTTTAAGGACTGGCTGGAAGGGGCTAGACAGCACCTGGACCCTAATGCTTGTTCTAGTGGGGCTCCTCAGTGACATATCACAGTGTGTGACCTTGTCAGTGTGCTGGCTGTGCCCGATGAGGTCTCTTTGCCACTCCCTGACCCCCGGTGGGCGCTCATAGACCAGCTCAGCCTCAGCCACAGGCCACTTCATCTTAGAGGCTCTGGCCTTCCACTGGCTCAGGTTGCATCCCGGGCAGACTCTGAGTGTCTCAGCAGGCCTCCCAGGCATGTGCAGGGGAAGAGAGGGCCAGCATAGCAGAGAGGGCTCTGAAGGGCTTGACATTACCTGGGGCCTCCATTTACTCATCATTGCAGGGTGGGTGGGGCTGTGGCCCATGAGGCAGATGCTCCCCCACTGCTCTTTTTTTTTTTTTTTTTTGAGACAGAGTTTTACTCTCCTTGGCCAGGCTGGAGTGCAGTGGTGCGATCTTGGCTCACTGCAACCTCCATGCCCTGGGCTCAAGTAATTCTCCTGCCTCAGCCTCCCGAGTAGCTGGGATTACAGGCATGCGCCACCACACCTAGCTAATTTATATATATATATATATATATATATATATATATATATATATATATATATATATATTTTTTTTTTGAGACAGAGTTTCGCTCTTGTTACCCAGGCTGGAGCGCAATGGCGCGATCTCGGCTCACCGCAACCTCCGCCTCCTGGGTTCAGGCAATTCTCCAGCCTCAGCCTCCTGAGTAGCTGGGATTACAGGCACGCGCCACCATGCCCAGCTAATTTTTTGTATTTTAGTAGAGATGGGGTTTCACCATGTTGACCAGGATGGTCTCGATCTCTTGACCTCGTGATCCACACGCCTCGGCCTCCCAAAGTGCTTGGATTACAGGCGTGAGCCACCGTGCCTGGCCTAATTTTTATATTTTTAGTAGAGGTGGGGTTTCTCCATGTTAGTCAGGCTGGTCTCGAACTCCTGACCTCAGGTGATCTACCTGCCTTGGCCACCTAAAGTGCTGGTATTACAGGCGTGAGCCACCACGCCTGGCCTCTGCTGTAACTTTTATTATGTACCTGATATAGTTTAGATGTTTGCCTCCTCCAAATCTCAGGTTGAAATCTGATCTCCAGTGTTAGAGGTTGGGCCGAGCAGGAGGTGTCTGGGTCTTGGGGGTGAATCCCTCATAAATCGCTTGGTGATGAGTCACTGAGATTTGGTTGTTAATAAGAAGTCTGAGACCCCCCCCAATCTCTCTTCCCTTGTGGCATGCTTGTTCCCCTTTCACCTCCTACCATAAGTAAAAGCTTCCTGAGGACCCCCCCAGAAGCCAGGCAGATGCTGGTGCCGTGCTCATACAGCCTGTAGCACCCTGAGCCAAATAACCCTTTCTTCATCAATTACCCAGTCTAGGTATTTCTTTACAGCAACATACAATGCTCTCAAATCATATCTTTTTTTTTTCTTTAAGAGATAGTCTTATTATGTTGTCTGGGCTGGTCTTGAACTCCTGGCCTCAAGCGATCCTCCCACCTCAGTCTCTCAAAGTGCTGGGCGTGAGCCATTGTGCCAGCCCCTGCTCTAACTTTTTAATCATTTACACTACTGCTATGATCATTACAAGTAATGCGCAACCCCTACCTTTCCAAGTTAAGATGATTTTTTTTTTAGATGGAGTTTTGCTCTGTTGGCCAGGCTGGAGTGCAATGGCGTGATCTTGGCTCACCGCAACCTCCGCCTCTCAAGTTCAAGCAATTTTCCTGCCTCAGCCTCCCGAGTAGCTGGGATTACAGGCATGCGCCACCATGCCCAGCTACTTTTTTGTAGTTTTAGTAGAGATGGGGTTTCTTTTTTTTTTGAGACGGAGTTTCGCTCTTGTTACCCAGGCTGGTGTACAATGGTGTGATCTTGGTTCACCGCAACCTCCGCCTCTCAGGTTCAAGCAATTCTCCTGCCTCAGCCTCCCGAGTAGCTGGGATTACAGGCACGCACCACCATGCCCAGCTAATTTTTTGTATTTTTAGTAGAGACAGGGTTTTACCATATTGACCAGGATGGTCTTGATCTCTTGACCTCGTGATCCACCGCGCCCGGCCCCAAGACGGGGTTTCTCCATGTTGGTCAGGCTGGTCTGAAACTCCCAACCTCAGGTGATCCGCCCACCTCAGCCTCCCAAAGTGCTGGGATTACAAGCGTGAGCCACTGTGCCTGGCAGATCATTTTTATTCTTGGAAAAGGAGGAGAGGAAATGACATTTTTCTGGAGCTTGGAAAAACTTGTTATCCAAATAAAAGGGAGTAAATTTCTGGCAAACACCACACTACTGAATAAGCAGCAGGTACTATTAAGGGCTAAATGCTGTGTGTGTCCATATTTAATCCCACACCAACCCTACCTGTATGAGAATTCCCTCCCCCAAAAAAGAGGCTTTTAGCCAAGTGGGATAACTTGCTGAAGGTCACACAGCTAGGTGATGGCAAAGAAAGGACTCAATCCAGGCCTGTGTGCCTCCAGAGCTGTTCTTTTATAGAGACAGAGCCTTACTCCGTCGTCCAGACTAGAGTGCAGTGGTGTGATCTTAGCTCGCTGCAACCTCCACCTCCCAGATTCAAGCCTTTCTCCCACCTCAGTCTCCCAAGTAGCTGAGATTATACGTGTGCCCCACCATGCCAGACTAATTTATGTAATTTTAGTAGAGACAGGGTTTCGCCATGTTGGCCAGGCTGGTCTTGAATTCCTCATGATCTGCCCACCTCAGCCTCCCAAATCACGCTGGGATTACAGGTGTGAGTCACCATGCCCGGCACAGGTTACCTTTCACTGGAACAGTGGAGTGATTCTGGCAAGAAGTGCTTCCTACAGGGGAAGGTAATACCTTCCTTAGAGCAGTTCCAGCTTTGCAAGCCCAGTGCCTTACTTTCTAGCAGGACAGAGCTATCCCTTCTGGTCCTAAAGGCTCACTGCTCTCAGCAGAGCCAGACAGAAGTTGTGTCTGTCTTCCCCAACTGCCTGTTACCTAATGCCCCCAAATCTCAGCAAGGAAGCCCTGCTGGCCTGAGGGCTTGAATATCCCAATGCCCACGCCTCAGGGAGATGTGCTCAGAGGCCCTGGGCACCACTGCCCCTCACAGCCCAGGCCTCTACCCCTGGCTCTTCCCACATTATCATAGATGCTTTCTGGATCATTTCCATGGGCAATTTCTCTTCCTGAGTCTGTCTGCAGTGTTTTTAAAGCCAAAGGACGCTTTTAAAAGTCTTTGCCAATTAACTTTTTGTTGTTGTGGTTAAAGACTTGATCTTGCTCTGTCACCTAGACTGAGTGCAGTGTCATGATCACGGCTCACTACAGCCTTGACCTCCTGGGCTCAAGCGATCCTCCCACCTCAGCCTCTTGAGTAGCTGGGAGCACAGGTGCGTTACCACCACGCCCAGCTAATTTTCGATGTTCTGTGGAGACTGGGTGTCACTAGGTTACCCAGGCTGGTCTTGAACTCCCGGCCTCAAGCAATCCTCCCACTTTGGCCTCTCAAAGTGCTGGGATTACAGGTGTGAAATCCACACATGGCGAATTAACTCTTTATCGAGGTCGCTACAAATAGTCAATGAACGTCCCCTCCTTTCTATCCAATTCCTCACCCACATTCCCAAACAAAAACAAACAAGCAGAATTATTCTTTGGAGCTGACTGAAAAATCTGCTTTCAGAAGTGGGCTGTGATTTTTCTTCAAGCCAAGGAAGCCAAGAGGCTCCAGGATCCTGAGTGCCTCTGGATTTTAGGCAGAGGAGAGATTGCTTCGTTCTTCCCTGATGGGAAAAGCTGGGCAAACTTTGTCCTCTCTGTCTTGTTGATGGCTGGGCCAACACACCAAGAGGTTGTTTCTATCATTAAACTCCTAATGAATAGGTGATACGGACAAGGCTACAGCAGCGCTTAAGCACGTAGCCTTTAAGATGTGTCTGAAGCCTTAATGTATCCGCAGCAATTATTAAATGACTTACTGTGTGTGACCCTTTGATCACGAACTGGCTTTCTGAAGGTGTTGCCTGGAGGCAACGCGCATCGGCCTTTCAAGAGGCAGACCCAATCCCGTAATGATACAGAAAGAATTTTCAAAGAATCCTGATCGGTCTCATCAGAGGGCAATAAAATCTTAACATGGTAGTTGTGAAGAGGAAAAGTTTTACTTGGAAATAGCTCAGGACAATTATCATCTCTCTTTAACGACTCAGATTCCTGCCCCGCCCTGACTTTATGATGTGTATATTACAAGGAGAGCTGGTCCCAAAAGTATGGGAAAAGGCAATTAAAAAAAAAAAAAAGAAAAGAGAAAAGAAACAAAGAAGAGAAGACAAAGCAAGGAATGCGTTTTCCACCAACCTTGGTTCTTCACTTCGGCAAATTCCTTGTTGTATTCTTCCAGAGTTTCCCTAAGTTTCTGGTTCTCTGTTTCAATATCGTGCAGCCGCTGTACTTTGAGCTGGAGTTGCTGTCCAAGATCCAAAGCTGGTACTGGATCTGCACAACAGGAAAGCAGCCATCACCCCACTCTGCCCCCAAACGTGCCCCCGCCATGGCTTGAATGGGACTCCTAAGACATCCGCTCCAGCGGGCTGCCCAGGGGCCACGATCATGCCCCTGTGGCCTCACCTCCTCCTGTAGGGGCCCTGCAGCCGGCCCCTTTGCTGGGTAAGGGGGTTCTCCGCTGCTTTATAAAGGATGGACCCAGCCCAAGGTCCTTGAGGTGTGAAAATGGGGCGGGAACAGTCATGAGATTCACTGGTATTTGCCTATGACAGGATTTTTGTTCTTTGATCAGATAAGTAGAGAAATATACCAGGCAGCAGCCCCAGGAGACCAATCACAACCCCAGAGATGCATGTGGAAGACAGACAAGTCCATGGACAGCTGCCCGGATGTTTAAGATTTCCAACGATTATGAAGTTGGAATAACAGATAACACCTGATGCCCTGAGAGCGCCACCCAGTTCATGGGACACTTTATGGACATTTTGTCCTTTGGGCCTTACAACGATCTTGAGAAAGACGCCTCAGAAGCTAAAGCCCAGGGACGCAGAGTGACTCTCCTGAGGTCACCGGCCAGTTGGTTGGCGCAGAGAATGTGCACCTAAGTCTGTCAGCTCCAAGTGATCGTGCTTTTTTGTGTGTTTGTTTGTTTGAGACAGGGTCTTGCTCTGTTGCCCAGGCTGCAGTGCAGTGGCACAATCATGGCTAACTGCAGCCTCCGCCTCCTGGGCTCGAGCGATCCTCCCACCTTAGCCTCCTGAGTAGCTGGGACTCCAGGCACGCACCACCAAGCTGGGCTGATTTTTGTTGTTTTTTTTTTTTTTGTTCAAATGGGGTCTTGCTATGTTGCCTAGGCTGGTCTCAAACTCCTGGGCTCAAGGGATCTGCCCGCCTCAGATTCCTAAAGGACTACAGGCATGAGCCACCCTGCCCAGACCCGGGTGGTCTTTACAGCAAGGAAGGTCACTTGGTGAAGCAGAGGGAAGAAACACGTAGGCTTTATAAAGAAGCCACCCCATTTCACGACATGACCACTTTCCATCACCAACCTCCTTCACTAATGAAGGGTGTTCAGAAGAGTCAGGGGTTAGTGGCTGCGGGTCCCAAGGCTGGAGACCCTTGCAGAGGCACAGCTGGTGACCCGGCATGGCCCTGTGGTAGGCCAGCTGGCCAGGAGGCCACCACACTCCTGAGAGTAACAAAGTGCGGAGCGGCACGAGCTGAACAGCAGCCAGGCCAGTGATGAGGTCTTGCGGCCAGTTCAAGGTCACATCTGCCATCAGATTCACTTCCAGAAAACTGGATTTTAATCCAAAGTCAGAAGTCACAGGCCTGGAATTTACAGTAGAGACTCAGGTCTCTCGCCTTTACCGTGAATTCAACACAGGGCGGAGGGACCTTAAATGTTCTTCTGCACCAATGCGATCTGTTAGTTCTCCTTCTGCTGCCTAACAGGCGATTACAGTCTGCCTGCTGGGTACTCGGGACATGCTTCCTTTGGAATTTTCAGGCTCTGTCAGAGTGAAGAATACCCAAGTCTACAGAGCTTAGAAAGATTACTGAATATATTTCTGGTATGGGCGCCGGCGTCACTTGTGAGATGGCTGCAGAGATTTAGTCTCCAGTTGAGGAATGTCAAACACCGTGCCAGCGGATCAACAAGAGCATATATTCAAGAGCTCACTTAACTTTCAAATGCCAGAGTCATTCATTTTTCGGACCACCCTAGGTTCCTGGAATTGAGGGCCAGGTCTACCATGCCTCGGTGAACACATCCAGAGGGAGCCAGCGACTCTCTGGGATGCCAGCGTCTTTGCAGAGTTTACAAAAGGCAGGCACTGGGCTATGCCGGGCTCAATGTCCGCGGGCCCCGGGTGCTAGGCACTTACTCTGCACGTATACACAGTCTATAATCGCATCTCTTTCTTGTGCATGGCTTTTCATGATTATTTTAATCAGCAATAAAATATTTATGTTAAGTTTGACTCCAAGAGCTATTTTGGAGGCTGGGTGCAATGGTTCACGCCTGTAATCCTGGCACTTTGCAAGGCTGAATCACTTGAGCTCAGGAGTTTGAGACCGGCCTGGGCAACATGGTGAAAGCCTGTCTCTACAAAACAAAAACACAAACCAAAAACTAGCCGGGCACGATGGTGCACCCCTGTAGTCCCACCCACTGGGGGGACTAAGGCAGGAGAATCGCTCGAGCCCTTGAGGTCGAGGATGCGGTGAGCCATGATTGCCACTGCACAGCAGCCTGGGCCACAGAGCGAAATCCTGTCTCAGGAAAAAAAAAGAAAAGCTATCTTGGGGAGATGGCTCTTTGTAAGTAGGAGTAGTGATAACACAAAAAACGGAATTCCTGAAAACATTCCAGGTGCTGTTCGCAAAAAAAAAAAATCTGTCACTTCACCTTCTCAGCCTTCCCTCTTCTCCACCGTCCTGGCCTCGTGCTGGGCAAACGGTCTCAAGAAAGGGAATGGCATGTTCATAGCTTCCTTTGTGTAGTGCCACAATTTAAACTTGACGCAGAGGTCAGGGAAGGGGAGGTGAAGAGAGGAACCTTTGCTCACGTCTAAAATTCTATTAAGAGTCCCTCACGCAGGCTTTCCGGCACAAGTGCTGGCAAATTGTATCTTTAAAGAGCAAAGCTAGTACACTGCCTGCCTTCCCTAAAAGTTCTGTCAACAGCATTTCTAGTCCATACCTTTCAAAAGGCCAGGACCCCCCGTATCTGCTTCGAATAAAAAATAGCTTCTCCCATGCGGTTCAGCAAGGAATCCGGTGACATATGAAAATGACACGCACATCATCCAGTGAGCAGGAACGAGACCCTTACACCGATTTTCAGAGCCTGGCCCCGTAAATGAAAATTCAGGTGATCTCACAATCGTTCATTATGGCATGTGTATTTAGTCTGACACTAGTAAAGGTTCATACCTAAGTAGCAAAACTGGTCACAGACTAAAGGATGAGCTGAGCGTTCAAACATCTCTATGCATTACACTCCGAACTTGACTAGGTACAGCCGGCTGCCTAAATGCCTGCAGCATCTGAATACTGTTTTGGGATATGTAAGAGGCATTGCTAAAGAAACTCTTAGGCTTAATTGTTATTACTTGTATTAAAGGAACAGCTAATTACCGAATGACAATATAATGACCCTAGCATGTTTGGGCTGGAGACCAAGACAATGAATTTTGGCTGCCAGAACCCAACCTGGATGTTAATCTACGGAAATCATAGCTTTTTGTCTCCTTAATGATTTCCAAGGCCATTTAAACCCCACACAAGGATTGTCGGGTCTTATCCCAGCGTCAGATGCCTCCGATCTTAGCAGCTCAATTAGGGAATTGTCTGGAGGAGGTGAAGAGGACACACCCATATATAAAACAGGAACACACAAAAGCCGGTAACCCCTGTCTTCCCAGCCTCCTCCTCCGATTCAGCTCGCCTTCCTGCCAGCTCCACCCACCCAGTGCGACAATCTTGTAAAGTGTTTTACGATCATCTGATACTTGATTCCTAAAGCAATCCTGGAGGTATTAAATAGCTTGTTATGCAACACGGGGCTCAACAACACCATCACCTGTACGATTCAGCACCTTGGCCCAGTGCACCCAACATCATCTTGCTAATTCCAGCCGCGGCAGTCAGAGCTGCCGGAGCCCACTCTGCAATGTATGGGGTAGATGCATCTCACCCGGGGAGGAAAGGAAGAAGCAAAGAAGCCGGCCAGGCGAACGAGTATGAGAAATTCTCGGGGGCTGGGCGCGGTGGCTCACGCCGGTAATCCCAGCACTTTGGGAGGTAGAGGATGGAAGATTGTTTGAGCCCAGGAGTTTGAGACCAGCCTGGGCAACATAAGTGAGACACTGTCTTTAGGAAAAATACAAAAATTAGCTGGGCATGGTGGTGCACGCCTAAAGTCCCAGCTCCCGGAGAGGCTGAAGTAAGAGGTTGCTTGAGCGTGGGAGGTGGAGGTTGCAGAGAGCTATGACTGTTTTTTTTAGAGACATAGTCTTACTCCAGCCTTGGGGACAGAGTGAGACCCTGTCTTAAAAAGAAAAGAAAAGAAAGTTTCTGTTACCTGAACCAGCAGCCAACGAAAATCTCTTTCAGTACTAATTTAACAAGTACTTCCTATGGAACTGAAGCATCTGTCTGTGCTGGGAAACGCCCGGCCTCACAGCAGATAGACCATGCATGTACGTGACAAACTCCAAGCAGGAGGAGCCAAGCTGGAGACCAGATGAGCAGAAGAGCACTCCTGGAGAAACTGGGAAAAGGAGGGTTTTTTTTTTTTTGAGATGGGGTCTCCCTGTGTCCCCCAGGCTGGAGTGCAGTGGTGCTATCTCGGGGTTCAAGTGATTCTCCTGCCTCAGCCTTCCAAGTAGATGGGATTATAGCCACCCACAACCATGCCTCGCTAATTTTTGTATTTTTAGTAGACAGAGGTTCAGCATGTTGGCCAGGTTGGTCTCGAACTCCTGACCTCAGGCCATCTGCCTGCCTCGGTCTCACAAAGTGCTGGGATTACAGGAATGAGCCACTGAGCCCAGCCAGGAGTTCTTTTAAAAGAAGAGGCGACTCTTGAGCAGTCCCTCCCTAAAGGATACACAGAATTGAGACCTTTGGAGACCGCAGGGTGGTCAATCCCTGTGGGCAGCTCAGAAGGTATGAGAGCAAGTGGAGTGTTCAGGGCACGACCAAAATAATGGTTGTGGACAGGCTTGTGGACCACACCTGTAATCCCAGTGCTTTGGGAGGCTGATGTGGGAGGATCACTTGAGGACAGGCATTTGAGACCAGCCAGGGAAATGTAGTGAAACCTCCATCTCTATTAAAAAAAAAAAAAAAAAGCCAGGTGTGGTGGCACACGGCACACACACCTAGTCCCAGCTACTCAGGAGGAGAGATTGCTTGAGCCCAGGAGTCTGAGGCTGCAGTGAAATTACCCAGGCGTGGTGGTGGAGCACAGACATGGAGTC